TTAATATTATTCTTAACTTCTTAATTCATTATTCAATTTAACTTTCACCTAATAGCTTCCTGTTATACCGACGATATACCGACGTTATACCGACGGTATCGATACGTTTGTTCACGACGACGATCAGCCGTCATATTCGAAGCTGTCGCTCACGCTTTCGCGCGCCCGGTCTATGCACGCTCTCATTGGTCAGTGTTTTTTGCTAATAACTCGAAAATGGAGCCTCAACCAATATTTTGGCAAAGGAAAAAGTTGTTCAGAATCGCCCCACCTACCACCCCTTTTCGGGTCCTACACTAATTGCGGGACACCCTGTATATTCGTTGATACGTATTACCTTCTTGATGCACCACAGATTTGTTTGTTCACAATCACGATCAATATCAGCTCAAAGCCAACCCTACAACTCAGGCGAACTTTTGTTAGTCCGTATTTTTCATTAGTAATTTAAGAAGTAAGTTTTAAGCATCATTTTGGTAATGAAAAAACTTATTCAGTATCACCTCGGTTACTATCCCCTACAGTTATCCCCATCTACACCCGTGCACCTTGCATACAAAAATAGACATGTACATACATATTTGAGTGCAGTTGATTTGATAAAAAAAGTATTGTATTTTTACCCAATATAGATCGGTAGTACAACTATTAAATGCAATATTATTTATAGAAATGTTGAATACGAATACAGAATACAAAATAAAACGGAAACAGAATGAACGAACAATCTACGCTGAAGTTATCGTAGAATGTTATAGACGATGTCGGAAAAGTTGTATTAATCGTACAGCCGATAGGTGGACATAATGCAAGGGGAGGTAGCTCAGATGATTCTAAACAACTTTCTCCATCGCAAAGATGTTGATTAAGAGTTCGCTAATTCGGCAAGAATTAGCTTAAGAATTAGAATTAGAATTAATTCGGCAAGAACCGGCAACAATGATCAACTTCTATTACAACAGGAGTGTTTGTAAGGAAATGGTTGAGTCCTATTTAAATTGCTTTTCCAATTTTTAATATAAAATAGATAGAAATTAATAAGTTTATTAGATAAAAAAATCTTCTTTGTTGAGTAGAAGTTATTTATCCTTTGAAAAAATTTATTATTTTGTATTTTCATGACAAGTGACAAGAATAGTTTTCACTTTATTGCTTATTTCTTTCTACTAGCAAGTACAAGTATTGAACAAATTTGATTTACTCAATTTAAGTTAATAAAGAATAATTAGCTTATTTTTTTTTCGTGAATAATGAATAATTATTCTTAATTATTTGATTTAATTTTGATGTAACAACTCTTCATTAAATAATTTCATCGTCACGATGCAAACGTGCTTGTTCATGATCTCAATCAACCATCTCGCTCAAACACATCGCTCTTGCGGCTGAGCGTGAGCTGTAACTGATCGCCATTTTTTGTTAACATTGAAAAACAAAGCTCCAAACTACATTTTCGCTAAGGAACAAATTGTTTCGATTCAGTTTATTTACTACTTCTGCAATTATGACCATCTGTCGCAGAATACCTTGTCACCGGACGGTCATTCCACACTTTTTTGTAGAACGTGCGCAATTGGTGTAAAAACTAATATCTATAAATGAAGTCATGCTTACAAAATGTTTCATTGTCGAAGAGTAATTGCCAATACATTTTTCGAGATATAGACAGGGTTACTTAATCTATACGAGTCTTCTTGTATTGCTTCGAGACCTGTGGTATAGATAACTGATCATAATCGCGGAACGTACAACTCGCCTACCTGAAACGATGGTACATCGCGCCCTGTTTCAATTTATTATGTCATCAATTTTCGAGCTCCCATCCTTTTGAAGAGCTCGTTTT